CTTTCTCCTCCCAGTCCTCACTTTCCCCAGCAGAGCCTTGTAAGTGCTTTTACTTTTCAATGAAAGTAGATGAAATTAACACCTGGTGAGTTTCTTCAGTTGTTAAACAGGTTACTTGAATGCTGCTTCCAAGAAACTGACTGGGAACACAATCAGGGAGATGATTATGTAACCCACATTATTACCCTATTAAATATTTCCCATGATTTCTTGATTTTCTGTGGTTTCACAAAAATGAGCAAAAACATAATCCTGCACCATCTTAAATAATATTAGAGAGTTTTGACTCCATGTGTACTGAGAGCCAATCATAGCAATACAAGGAACAAAGCACCCACTATCCCTGGCGTTCTGGAATAGTGTTGTACTATGAAGGTTAAAACTCTACGCATTGGAGCCCTTTATCAAACAATGTTTAACTCTCTTTAGTTCTTCAATGATTCACATTTGTAGCGAATAGCTAGAAATACCAGTGCAGTATTCGGCATTACATTTAACGAAATACAAAGACAGTGAAATATTTTGATTAGCTTTTGTATTTTTTTTCAGGTCATTTTCATAACATTGGACATAAACGACCTAAATTATATTCTGGTCTGGAAAGAGGAAGCAACTCTCAGTTTGGCAGATATTAAGTTTATAATTTAAAGATTATTAAATTTATACAAAGTAGAAATAAGCAACGAAGCTGGTAAGTTAGGTTCAACATTTGTGGCAGGTTAAACATTGGTGCTAAGGAGTCAAAACTTCATTCAACAGACAGTGAGAAACCACTGAAGATCTGTTGTACAAATGAGCAACCTGAGTTCTGCTTTGGAAAAAATCAGTTTAATGCCAAATACAGTATGTATGACAGGAGATGTCAGTTCCAAATTATCTATATTGACATAAAACTAAATCTATCAATAAAAAATTATTAGTTCAGTTTATAAAAGCCATCCTATACAGGACTCAGATACTTGAGTTCATGGTAAATCTAGCTCTTTTGAGTATGTAGGTATAATAATCCAGATTTGATTTTAGATGTAAACCTTTTGCTATTTTGGTTTCTGTTCCAAGTGTAGAATTCTAATTTTTTAGCTGTTCTGTTTGTTTTGAAACTTGGTTAGTATTCTTATCATATGTAATTGAAGTGTAAATGTCACAGTATTCCTTTAAAAACAAATGCCAATTAATGTGAGAGATGTTGGCAACAGGAATGGGCTCACTTCATTTATTATAACATGTTTTGACCTTTTCATTATTTTGGTGGTAATTATTCTATTTTTTTGCAACCAACACAAACTCAGATGGATTATTTGATACAGTTCTTTAATTTAACTCAGAGGTCATACTTTCCATTTACTTGGATAGATCATTGATGCATTTCTTACCTCTATTTCTAAGCCTTCTTTTATTAATAGCTAATTTATAGATTTGTTCATTGGAATTTCAGAAGAAAATCAACAAATGTAATAGCTTAAATTATCTGTCTGGATTATTAATTTACTTCCATTAATGCTGGTTTTAATATTCATATTGTTGCATTGCTACTGGGAGTTCACTTTTCTTTCCTCTAACAGAAGACTGAAAACTCATTAAGAATAAAGACAGTATCTTACTCCCCCTTCTACTTTCAATATTTAGTACTTCCACTGAGACAGATATTATTTTTAAATGAAAGAAAGCGTGCTTATATCTGAAAAAGTGTGCTTATATCCATTTAACTACCCTTATTATTTTATTACAGGTTTCTAAGACTAGTAAAGGGTTTTCATAGTCTTTGTATTACCTACAGCCTTAATAAAGTATTTGCTTAAAAATTTAATTAAAGTGAAGTTATTTAAAATTTTTTTTATTTTCCACTTGTTCTTAGCTTCCAATGAATTGTTATTTTATGTTAATGTACATACCTTTGAGGATAACTAGCCAGTATATTGCATTTTTAAAATAGCAAACAAAAAACCAACATGAAACAAATCCTAACACACAAAAAAATTCTGTTTCTGCATATAATAAAGAATTGCTTCAATTTGGTTTGCTGATTTAATAAGTATTGTTTATCTATAAGGAGCTTTAGAAATGGGGTCAAACTGATCTAGAAAAATAAAGAAAATTAGATGAGTAGAGAATTAGTACTAATTAGTAACTTCTTCATATACTATTTAAAAAAGATGGTATGGAGATACTCATCTCTACCTAAGCCAAATAGAAAGCCAGTATTACCAGAAGAATACAATACATTCTAATGAATAACAAAGTCCTCAAGGAAAATTAAACCCAGATAGATGGGATCAGAGATTGCATCAGTGGATATAACTGGTAATATATAATATGTGTGTGTATATTTTATATACACATAGGTGTGCGTATGTACATGTATGTATCTACAAATAAGAACCAGATATGAATGATTAAAGGATACACCAAACAAGTAACATAGCAGAAGCTGTGAGTAAGGAATTGGTAAATGCTTGCCTATGGACAGTTGGTGAAGGAAATAATTTATTTAGCCATAGAAAAATCAAATGGACTGAGAAGTTGGAACCAAGGAGGAAACAGAGATACGGCACATGTGTGAAAAATGCAGCTCTGGTCAGAGCGTAGGAGGGAAAAAAATGCAGGTGTTGACAGCAAATGACAAATTTCTAAATTATTTGGGGAAAAAAATGGATTACTATATTCAAAGCTGTGTTTCGAAGCCCAGATGTGACCTAAGAGTGTCCAGGGCTCTATTGAAGGCTGTGAACCATCTGCAACAGACAACCAGTCTTCAGGATTGGACCTGAGAGGGCTCGGGTTTTGTTTGGTCTCCACAGTTCATCTTCTTAGCAATACATGGGGAAACACCTTGATGTCAGTTAGAGACCCATAAGCATGAGAATAAAGGGCTTTTGTTGATTCATGATTCTTTCAATCTGACTGGGGCAACCCTAACAATTCATCAAAAGAAATGAGGATACACGGAGTTCAGTTGAGCATTTAAACCCAGACACTGAGTTTTGGTTTTGTTAGCTTTGTATCAACCCACTCAGAAAATGTGAATGTGAAGAAAAATGTGATTAAAATTGGTTGCCATATTGTGGATCAGTTCATGAGCATTTGGACATGAGTCATTTCATGTTGAACAAACTATGCTTTCCTCTTTAAGCGTAGGCTTAAAATAAATTTAACTCTCATAGGGTTCATTTCATTACTTTAGGCTGGAATAGGCAATAACTTTGCTGAAGTAAGTAATGCAATAATGCCAATTATTTGCATGATTCAGTTATTATCTACCTATGTTACTATATACTGCTAATTTTTGAGCAGTGATTTCTAAATCATTTGACATATGTAAGGAAACACGGATCTTAAATCAGGAGTTGGCAAACTTTTTCTATAAAGAGATAAGCAGTAAACATGTTTGGCTTTGCGGCACTATTATCTCCGTGACAACTACTCAACTTTGCTCTTTTAGTGTTTCAGCAGCTATGAGTAACATGCAAATAAATCAGAGGGGCTGTGTTCTGATAAAACTTTACGAAAGCAGGGAGTAGGGTGGATTTGGTCTATGGGCCACAGTTTGCTAATTCTTGTCCTAAATAATAACCAAACTAAACTATTTCCACTCACAGTCATGAAATCTTTTGTATTTCTAGGTTACCTTCCACAGCAGCATTTTTTTCTAAGGCAATGACTACTTGTAGGTCAATACTGATTCTCCCAGTACCAGGGGCAGCTTAAGGGTGATGAATTAGGCTGTCAACTCCAGACCATGTATGTCTCCACAATTTTCCAATTAGAAGTAGGAAATAGGGAGGAAAGGGGCATTGGGATAATAGGGCATGTTTCTACTTTAATGAAGCCACCTAAATTAAGTGAAGAGTGTTGAATTCACTATTCATAAATACTAGCATCTTTTACTATTAAATTTTCCATCTCTCTTTTATTCTTTTAATATATGCTGTAACATAGATGTATCACATAAACAATGCATGTATAATATAATGTACCATTTTATCATAAATAGATTAATATATCATTTAAAAATGAAATCCAGGGGAAAAATGCAGTTAGTATAAAGTCAGAGTTGGTAAAACATGTTGGATGTCCCATTTGTCCATATTCATTAACAGATGCATACTTGATGAAGATATCTTAAGATGTAGAATTGTGTTTAGCATTCAGACAGGTACTCTGCTAAGTGCTAAGTCATGTAAGAGTCTGAACCACATGAAATTGCTGTTTTTAAGTCAAAAGACAATAGAATATTAGGAATTTCATAAATCTAAAAAAAGTATTGAAGAAGATTGGCATTGACTCTTTCCCGCAGGAAGTTAATAGCCTGTCTTTGGACTAATAATTGCAAGCATAATAAATATTACCAATAGAAAAATAGAAGATGCATCAAGAGCATATAATGACAGAATTTAACATGTGTAGGAGATTAGAGAAAGCACCTTGAGTAGGGGGCATTTAGGTGGAGACCAACAAGATAAATAGGCCTTAGAAAAACACACAGAGAGAAAGAGAAAGGGCAGCAAGGGCTATAGAGAATGTCACAAGTTTTGGGAGCCACATATCTCCAGGCTCAGAGGCAGGAGAGGATATAGATGTATTTGATAACGGATAACATGGTCACAATGAATTATGTTTCCCATATACACATTTAAAGTTATAACTATATATATATACACACACACACACATATATACTATTATATACTAATACTATATGGTTATTTTATAGCATATATTATATAACTTTAAATTAACTTATATAAATAAATGTCCCCCAAAAATATCTTAGTGTAACGGGATCATGTCCAGAAGATTGTGTTAATGCTCCACAGCTCTGAGAGGTGTTGTTCTAAAGCAAGAACTCATAGCTTAGTTTGTTTAGTCTCAAAACCGCTAACAACATGGAAATTCATAGATAAATCTTCAAGTAAATTTAACTTCAAGTTACCCTTCAAAACCTGGGCTTCTTATCAGGCACTCCATCTCCTCTGCTCTAATCTCTTCTTCCTCTCCTTACAGGATAATTAGAACTTTCTTCTCTGACATTCTACCAACACTATCTTCATGATGCCACCAATGCACACTTTTGCACCTCCCTGCTTTGTAAGTGCACCTGAGGATTAACGTACATTCAGGACCTTACCTTCTGTGGAACATACTTGCTGTGAGTCCTTGTTTGCTCTTTGTGAAGATCTAATGACAACTGACACATTGAACGCTGTTATTTCTCTCCAGGTGCAAGGACTTTCTTAAGCCTCTAGAACTGCTCTTGTAAATGGTTTTAATGGTAGGCCTTTGCTACTAATGTTCAGGTAATAAATGCCTACATGTGTAATAGAAGACTTATGTGTAAAAGAAGACATTCACCATAACCTGGTAGTGGAGATTGGGGGATGTCATTAACCCTCTCTCCCACAAAACTTTTGGTAATTACCATTTACCAAAAGTAATCTAAGAGATGTGTACAAGCAAATTGAGTTAAGCCAGCTGACAACAGTTTGAAATCTATGATTATAGTGTTCTGTAGACCAAAGGGCACACACATTTCATTTTGGGAAACTGAAGTTTGGGCAAAGAAATGTCCTGCCTCTGTAAATGAAGCACTGTAAAATACTTTAAAAATCATCTCCACTTTGGAGAAATGAATGATAATTGCTAACTTTTGATTTTTCCCATTTAGTTTCTCAAAGCCCTTTAATACACATTCTCCCATCAGATCCTTGCAATGAAGATGCGGCATTGACATAATTTCTGGCTAGGCAAGAAGAATAGGCAGGCAGAGAGGCAGTCATTTGCTACTTACCCCACCCCTCTCCTTGACTTCTACTCCTCTCCATTTCCCAAAACCCTGCTTGGGAATAAGGGTTTGAATTGTGAGATGCCTCACTCATAGCAACAGTATCTGTTGGCATTGTGTTGCTTTTCATTAAGAAAAAAATTCCAGAGGAGACAAGACAGGAAATCTGCCCATACCTTGCTCATTGATGAAGGGAAATGATATCGGCTCTAAGGTTAAATCAAGGGCAGCCAATGTCGATTTGTTTTCGAGAAGTTCAGGCATTGAGGGAGTTAACATCCTATTCTATTTGAATCAAACACCTGCCTTTACTTGTGTTGGATAATGAGGAAAACAGGGTCTCTTAAATATAGTCTTTTGCTATAAATAGTCAATCTATTTTAAATTCAATTGTTATCATTGTCAAAGCATAGCCTCAGAGAGGCAGACTGATGTCACCAAAATGCTCCTTAACTGAGTGGTAGGCACCTGGTTCTAATCGCTGCTCTGGTACTCATTAAGTATGTGGCCCAGGTTGATTAATTTCACATTTTCAGGACTCTCCGTTCTCTTGAGTGTCCATTTTCTCTTCTTATTGGTTTCCAGGGTGTCTTCCTTTTCCATTCTTAGTGAGGCTGCCTTTACTCAGGAGCTCATCTTTTCTTCCTTGGAGGATTGTAATATATTTATGTTTACATTATGTAATATATTTATATTATGAAATATAAATATATTTTTCATATTGCTGCCAGCAGCTTCTTATTAAAATGTACATCTTATCACATCATTCTCTCAATTAAAGTCTTTCAAGGATTTCTTGTATTTCAACATGAAGGTCTAACTCTTTAGCTTATATAAAGGAAGCTGCAGAAACTAGGCATGCCTGTTCACTGCCCTTTCTAGGGAAGTTCCTTACAGTCCAGTCATTCCAAAATTATTACATTTCCCTAAATACATCCAATGTATTCGGCTCTAGATTTTTAAAAATTGTATATTACCTTCTGTCCTCCTTCTACAGAATCACTTGGCTCGCCCCTTCTTGACATTCTCTAAGAGGCTCAGACATTAACTCCTTCTGGAAGCCTCCCTCAATTTCTCCAGTCTGGATCTGGGCCCATCTCTTTGCAGATGTTGCACCTTGAGAGCCCATTCAGCATAAAGCTTTGCAGCTGGCATTTTTGGTGACTATTTCTGTTTTTCCCTCCAGCTACCTCTCATTAAATATGAACTTTTTCAGGGTAAGAGCTGTGCTTTCATCTCTACGTTTTCTGAAATGTACTTGATAAATGGCTGTTGTGGAAGACATAAACACAAGACAACTAGATAAGAGCACTGGACTCTATTATTTCATCCATTTATGAGCGCATTCAAAATCATTTTGCCTACTAGAAAGTCACTGGTATGGAGTTTCATCTTTCTTTTGATCCAAAAAACAGAAGTGTAGATTAAATAAGTCTTTGCAGAATAAAAATAACGCTAAATCCTAAATTTGCACCTTAAATCAAGTGGCAGCCAACAACACACCCTCCACTGCCAACCCCAATATCAGTTATACTCAACATCTGGGCGAGTCCAATTGCACGGGGATGTAGGTTAATAAGATGCCTACTGTAATTCAGGGAAGATAGAAAGTGACATAATGAGCTTTAGAGCAAAGAGGAAAATTAGAAAGTGATAAACAGGAAGTACTTTGAGTTGAGTGTAAATTAGATTCATGAACTACTCATTATAAATGGTTTTTCTCAAACCTGACATGGATACATATAGAAAAAATTCTTTTAAACAGAGAAAGCGTAAAAGAAGGTCCCACATTCAATACAATATTTAACAAAGAATACTATGATATAACCTGTGATAACATAGCAACTACAGAGCGACACAGGGAGTGTTTTGGAAGTTAAGCAATGTGGATTTTCTTCTTAGATAACTATATGTAACTGCTTTGTGGCTCTAGGTTGTTTTCTTAATGTCTCTGAAATTTATTCTTTTCCCTGCCTATGGAATTAAGAAGTTTATTCATATAATTCTAATTTCCTGCCTATTTATCATTCTATGAACCTGTAAACACTGTGTAGCAGTAAACAATGAATCTAGGCACATACAGAGATGGCTTATTGTCGCCTGCAAGAAAAGATGGAGAATCAGGGGATACCCAGTTACCCTAAGGGATGTTTGGGGAAGAACAAGAAACTCCGGTTATTTGGGAATCCAAACAAAGTGTTTATGAAGGAAAGCTAGTCAGCTTCCAGGTAGAATGGACCAGGTATAATCAAAGGAAGGATTGGTATTGAACTGCATCCCTTTTCTGGCCCATCAGAAGTCACAGGTTTTTCTAGGAGTCATGGATTTTTCTCCTGCCACAAATTCCTATGATTTTGTAGCTGATTGAGACCTTGAATCATCTGGTGCCCTCTCTCATTCCATTCATCTGAGGTCAAGAAGGTAAGTAAGTGATTGACAAAAGCTGGTGAGCAGGCCGTGTCTATTTCCCAATTGACCCTTTTCTCCTGCCCTCAGCTGCTTCTTTTGCCTAAAGGATGTTTTGTAGCTATTTCTCTACACCATACCCTGCCACACACCTGTACCTTTCCAGTTCTTCCTTAAAAGAGAACAAAATGAGGACTCTGCTAATTTAGATGGCAAATTTAAAATCTGTTTCGTTGAAATTGCTTTGATATCCTGTCTCACACCTAAATAGTCAAATTATACAGCACAGACCGCGTAATGACTCATGCCTGCAATCCCAGCACTTTGGGAGCCAAGGTGGGTGGATCACCTGAGGTCAGGAGTTCGAGACCAGCCTGGCCAACGTGATGAAACCCAGTCTCTACTAAAAATGAAAAAAATTAGCCAGGTATGATGGGCTGCGCCTGTAATCCCAGCTACTTGGGAGGCTGAGGCATGAGAATTTCTTGCACCCAGGAGTCAGGGGTTGCAGTGAGCCAATATCATGCCACTGCACTCTGGCCTGGGTAACAGAGAGAGACTCTGTCTCAAAACAAAAAACAAAAACAAATGAAACAAAAAATATATATACGGCATAGTCTTCTTCATCTAGCATCAACAAGAAATGAATATTTTGCAGAATTAAATTTCTCAGCCCTTTTAGAGACACCATTTTATGAAAACCTTTTTATATGTTTATTTTTAAAGAAAGCAATTGATGATTTGGTTTGAACATGACAAAGAGTTGATCTTTTTATTTTCCATGACTGTAGTTACACAATTATCATCTTAAGATTTAAATATAATCATAGAAAACTATTGGCATAGACACGGCAGTCTCATTTGGCTCTTCAGAAAATTGCTCCATTTTGTGCTATATTTTCTCTCAAATGCTTTTTTAGTCTACTTTCTCGCAAGTTTTTCACTGTCAGTAGTTTGGGCTTCCCTTTACTCAAGCACTCCCTCTGGCTTCCTGCTTTAGAGCACTGAAGGCTGAAGAAGCACAAAAGTAAATCAACAATGAGTGAGATGCACAAGCATTTGTATGATATGCCTTTTACCACTAAGAGACCTGTTTTTATCTTGCTCCCCACTTTTTAATAAAAATTAAAATAAACGTAAATAAATAACAGTAACCACCATTTACTAAATCGTTACCATTTTCGAAGCACCTACTTGGGAGAAACAGAGTTGGTGAGGTGGTCATATTTGCCTTAGAATAACAAGTAATTTGAAGATAATTGTCCCAAATTTGAGTCAAAGATGCAGCAACAAAATAAAATGAAGATCAAAAAGGTTAAGAATATAACAAGCCAGAAGAAAAAAACATAAATGGGATAAAATACCTAATTTGGTCTTATTAGATTGTTCTTCCTTTTCCATTGGCCTCATTCTGTATGTTCTCCCTCACCTGCAACTTGCTTGAGTCAATAATTTTTAATTATGTTTTTCACAAGTGCAAGGAAGAGTAAGTTGCTTTATTTCTGTAGCTTCTATATTTGATTCCATCTGTTTGCAGCTCTGTAGCACCCTATTTAGTTAATACTTATACCACCCATAACTCTAGGAGAAATGATTTGTAATTAAAGACTTAAATATTTTAACACTCTACCCCAAAATGCTTCTTAGCAAGTGTTACTGCAGTGGGATAGTCATGTAGAACACTTTTCATCTTTAATTTGTTAAATAAATTAACATATATTACTTTATGTTATATTGTTAAAGAAGATATTATAACTATTGGAATTAGGTGCTGCAATCTTGGTTTGGTTTAAGTGTTATTTTTAAATTAACTTTATTGCATATTTTTACTAGAACTTTGACAGAATTCACTTTTAGCTGATTCTGAATTATTTTAATAGTAAAAATCCTATTTAATTGCAAAGCATAAGTTACTTTAAACTTTTCTCTGGAGGAAAGAAAGCTTGGCTGTTAAATTAATATTGCTGTAACAGAGAATTTGCTGAGAAAGATAATAATTTTAGATTTTCACAAAGTCTATGATGATCAAGAAATTTCATTCTCTGGACACTACTACTAAAAACCATAAGGAAGTTTATGTTGGGCCTGCAAGAAATTCATCCCTTCATGCTACTGGAGTTGCTAAACTAATTAATGGCATGATGATGTTGCAAGGGACTCATTAGGACTAAGTTAAGAGATTACTGTCAAGGAGTATAACTAATATGTAATGAGCAGTTCCAAATCTTGGTTTTCAGCCCTACTTTTTAATGAGATCAAACAATTTGTTGTTTCTTGTTCATTTTGGCATGCAATTGGAAGCAACAATACTGAATAAATACTTTATGCTATAGATCTTTACGCTGTAGACTTTCTTGAGAATTTTTGTGAAAGAATGCAGCAATTCTTAAGTTTAAATCTTGGTTTTGCCATTTTCAAGTTGTGTAAACTTTGGTAGATTATTTGACATCTCTGAGCTTCAGTTATCATCTGTAAAATGAAGCCCAAGTCAGCTATTTTGCAGTACTTGTTTGAGAATTAGAGTTAATAATTTTAAACAACCTAGAACAGTGCTTGACAGGTAGCAGATATATGTCTTGTTTGTTTTTACTATAATTCCTATTTTTCTTTCCAAATTGTCTCTAAATTATATTGATGTGCATGCATCATATTTTTGAACTAAATTGTGTCATCGGGGGAGACCATTTCATTTACATTTTTTGCTATTATTCTGTTTACTAAGCATTTTTACAAATGTTCGTGGATAGAACATTATGCAAGATCACTTATATCTTACTATGATAGGCAACTTTTATATCAAAGAACATAAAAGAGTCTGAGGGATTGTTAATTTTACCAAACTCAAGGCAAAGTTGTTATACATGTAAGTTGTAATTTTATTGGAATAACAGAACTTTCATTGGATGAAAATATACATTTTTTAAGATAGAAAAGCTTTTACTTAGCCGTTGAAATATATCTATTCCCTAGGGCAGCCATTCTGTCTTATAATGTTAACTTTAAGGTCTAGTACATAGTTCAGTATTCAGGGTCTCCCATATAATAGAAATTAAATCATCTTAAGAAAACAATTTTAAAATTAATCTATGTGTTGTTATTGATGATAATTATTATGTAGGTACACAACTTCTGTAGATTTTTATGTCAATATTTTCCAAATAGTTTTCATTTTTAAATCTATGAAGACTTTTGTGTTGATGCGAAAAACAGGAAATTTAATTTTGTGCTCTTCAGTTTAAGTGGTTTGTCTAAGTTACAGTGTATTCACCAAAGCCTCCAACTGATTTTAATCCCATCCATTGTACACAGAAACATTCAAACATATCTCCTTTCTTCATACAGTGACTGCCAACTCCACCATCAAGTGCATTTCAAACCATAATGAAGGGACTGTAGACAGTCACACATTTTCCAAGATAAAAAACACTTAACATGGAACCACTTTGAATCAGCCTCTGTCTTCTTCAAATGCTAATACTCTTATCGCTCCAACCTGGATGCTTTGGCTCTGACATTTAGAGCAGAGATGACTTTTCATTGGTTTTCAAGGTGTTGCTCCCAACTTCTTGCATCAGAGTAACACATCATGATTATGAGAAATTCAGATTTCTTCATCTCATTGCTGTACCCTGAATCAGAATCTCTGCATTATTTTGAATTTGCATATTTGATGATGCTGTTTGTTTTCATTCTGCACATTAACATTTGGGAAGCACTGAGATGAGGGGATATATTGGTAGACAAGTTTTATATCAACTACCACAAAAGAGAAGCTCCCTACTCTTGTTACTGGTTCCATGAGAAAAAATAGCAGAAACCAGGATCATGCAAGCATCAGTCGCAAACATATGCAATTCTGCACTTCTACTGGGAAAATTGCAAACAGACAAAGCTTAATTTCTGAACTAAAAATTGCAATTTAATTAAGTTTATTTGCTTGTTAAAATATTTCTATACTTTTGGATGCATTAAACAAACCTTATTTAATCTACTATTTTAATGAGTGTTCAGCATTTTATTATAATCACTTACATATATTTTCTGTATTTTTCATTAATGTTATTAAATATTAGTATTTATTGAGCACTTACCACATGCAGACCCTGTTCTTGGCATTTTACATCAATTATTACATTTGATTCTCCCAATAAACCTATCTCAGCTTAACAGATGGAAAAAACTCAGGCTTGATAAGATCCAGTACATCATAGAGAGTGATATGGTTTGACTGTCTCCCCACCCAAATCTTATCTTGAATTCCCACGTGTTGTGAGAGGGACCTGGTGGGAGGTAGTTGAATGATGGGGACAGGTCTTTCCCATGCTGTTCTCATGATAGTGAATAAGGTTCACAAGATCTGATGGTTTTAAAAAGGGGAGTTTCCCTGCACAATTCTCTCTTCTCCTGTCTGCCACCATGGGAGATGTGCCTTTCACCTTGTGCCATGATTGTGAGGCCTCCCCAGCCACATGGGGAATAAAGTAAGTCCAATAAACCTCTTGCTTTTGTAAATTGCCCAGTCTCAGATATGTTCTTGATCAGCAGCGTGACCATGGACTAAAACAGATAGTTAACGTCAGAGTTAAGAATTTAACGCAAATCTGTATGACTTCATGTGCTATGGTTGAAATGCTTGTCCTCTCTGAAACTCATTGAAATGTAATGGCCCTTGGCACAGTATTAGGAAGTGGGACCTTTAAGAGATGTTTAGATCATGAGAGATCCACACTCTTGAATGGTCTAATACAGTTACTGTGGTAGTAGATTTCCCCTTGTTTCTCTCAGACCTTCAGCCATGTCATGTGTTGTGTGATGTGACACAGCAAAAACCCTCTTTCAAAATGCCAGTCCCCTGATCGTGGACTCTCTAGCCTCCAGATCTGTGAGCCAATTGTGGAAAGAAAAGAAATCTTGAGGCCCCCAAATCACTAAGCTAAAGGGAAAAGTCACGCTGAGAACTGCTTAGAGCAAACCTGCCTCCCATTCTATTCAAAGTCACCCCTCTGCTCACTGAGATCAGTGCATATCTGATTGTCTTCTTTGGAGAGGCTAATCGGGAACTCAAAAGATTTTTTTTCTTATCTACTTGTGACCTGGAAGCCATTTTCTCTTATCTACCTGTGATCTATCAACCATTTTTCTCTTATCTACCTAGGACCTGGAAGGCCCTTCCCCTCTTCAAGTTGTCCCGCCTTTGCTTTGAGTTGTCCCATCTTTCCAGACTGGACCAATGTTCATCTTACAGACGTTGATTGATGTTTCATGTCTCCCAAAAATGTATAAAACCAAACTGTGCTCTGACCACCTGGCGCACCTGTCGTCAGGACTTCCTGAGGCTGTGTCACGAGCACATGTCCTCAATGTTGGCAAAATAAACTTTCTAAGTTAACCGAGACCTGTCTCAGATATTCAGGGTCTGCAAAATAAATTTCTGTCCATTATAAATTGCCCAGTCTGTGATATTCTGCTACAGCACCATGAAATAAACTAAGACACCACATGCCATTTTTCATGCTTTTATGCATTAGATTATTATTTCCTCTCCACATAGTAAGTTTCTAAGAGCAGGGGCTATGTCTTCCATAACTTTGTATACCTTTCAAATTTATCAACATTAACATCACAAATGCTATGCAACAATGAAGTCAAGAGGACAAATATTTACCAACTTGATTTCCCCAAATTCCACCACACAGATGTGATCAGTTGACAGTTGCATGCATTAAAGGTTTAGGTCTATAAATTTAGTCAATGTCACTGCTGATTGCCAATCTGATCTATTTTTTTCTATATAAATATCCCACAATGATAGTGACAGTAGATGAAGGCAGATATACTCAATTCACAAGCTGAGTCCTGGTTAAATAAAATGTCAAGATAAATGCTCATAATAAAGTGAAACCTAAGTCAGTGGATTCAATATTATGTAATTATTTTTGTTGTTAATACTCAAAATCCCACATGCTTTCTCTCATTTAATTTCTATGTTAATAATGTTACATCTAGAACCACCATTATTTCAAATGATAATTTATTAAAGTCATTAAGTGATTGGAAACATATAACTAGGGAATAAGAAGCAAAAATGAGTGAGTTAAATCCATCTCAACTGTAACTTATGCACATTTAAAAAAAATTGGGGGCTGGCTGCGGTGGCTCACGCCTATAATCCCAGCACTTTGGAAGGCCGAGATGGGCGGATCACAAGGTAAAGAGATCGAGACCATCCTGGCCAATATGATGAAACCCCGTCTCTACTAAAAATACAAAAAAATTAGCTGGGCATGGTGGCACGTGCCTATGGTCCTAGCTATTTGGGAGGCTGAGGCAGGAGGATTGCTTGAACATGGGAGGTGGAGGTGGCAGTGAGCCGAGATCGCACCACTACACTCCAGCCTGGTGACAGAGTGAGACTCCATCTCAAAAAGCAAACAAAAAAATGGGCTAAAAGCAGAACTTTGGAAAGGATGTCTAGAACCCAAAAGACATCTAAGTCACCATCCAAGACATTTATGGTCCCAGTATTAAAGTTGGTCATTTTATTTGTTTAACAAAAGCAGTCACTAGATAATAGTCATGCTTATCTAAAAATGCCTCTGGGCTTAAGATTTCTTTTTATTGACTTCCTCCTTTCCTTCCCCTTCCAGATAATGTCTAAACTACATCAACTTGTGATACGACTCAATATATTCAACCTGCTCCTGCTCAAGTTGGTTGTATGTGCAGCAATAAGAAGAAAATGATGTTGCCAACAGGCATTAAATTGCTTATAAATACCATCAGGATTCAGTCAATAGAATACACAATTTTATTAATGTCTTTTATCTGTGATCTTCCAATAAATTACAAAAGTCAGCTACCTGACATTGTATGGTATGACGAATGCATGGATAACCCTAATATGGCCTTTCTGTAACCACAGCTGTTGCTTTGTAATTTTGTAGTCCCCTCTCACTCTGACTCAACCATATGACTTGCTTTGGCCAATAGGATGTTAACTGACGTGACAAGCAACAGAGGCTTGAAAAATCTTTTGCACATTTATACTTCTATTTCTTACTCCTCTGCAATCACTATTAGAAAAAGTTTAAGCTAGGCTGAGAACAAGACTGAGCTAGCCTGCTGGATGATGAAAAAACATATGGAACACAGGCAAATTTTCTAGGCCAAAGACTCAGATGTGTACGAAAACACAGGCAAAATCAGCAACACTATTTAGTGAATCACCTAGCAGATTGTTGAGGTCAGCTGAGCTGGTCCCTAAGATGATGAGAAATAATAAAGACCTGTTCATTTAAGACACTAGTTTTTTTTGGAGAGTTAGTAGTAATAGCTAAATGATACACATGGAAGGTTATTGTATTAAGAGTACTTAAAGTACACCAGGCCTGGCATGGTGGCTCATGCCTGTAATCCCAGCACTTTGAGATGCCTAGGGGATTGGATCACCTGAAGTCAGGAGTTCAAAACCAGCCTGGCCAGCATGGCAAAACCCCATCTCTACAAAGAATACAAATATTAGCCTGGCGTGGTGGTGGGTGCCTGTAAGCCCAGCTACTTGGGAAGCTGAGCCATGAGAATCCCTTGAACCCGGGAGGCAGAGGTTGCGTGAGCCAAATAATGCCACTGCACTCTAGCCTGGGTGACAGAGCAAGATTCTGTCTCAAAAAAAAAAAAAAAAAAAAAAGTATACCAATTACACAGTCTTTCTGTTTGTGTTTGTGTGTATGCAGATATGGAGGAGGCTATCAAACTGCATATATTTTGGTATAAAACTTAAAAATGCCAGTGGACCTAAAAGTTTGTGAGGAGTTGTAAAGTACTGAAAAACAGACTGATTACTCTAAATTGTAGCAATCAAAAAAGTACATATGTATTGGATTTACAAGTCAAGTCAGAAAATAATAATTTCATTATTATATCTCTTCTTGTGAAACAAATAACAGCAGCAGAATAGATTTTGATATTCAATTAGCAATACAAAAATAATTTATGTTCATTCTCTGCAGATACATGATTTTGCAAAATTATTTCAACCTTCATAATAGAAATTATAAAACCTTGACTGTTCTCTTTTAAAATCTCTTTAGCCCCTGCCCTCTACTAAAAACAGTTATTGGCATTTTCTGTTTCTGGTTTTAACCCAAATTGAAAATAAATATTTAATTATTCTTCTCCAGATTCTGTGTCCTATGGCCAAATGCAAATATGGCATCAGATTTCTCATAAAAGATTTTAGCCACACCTGGCAAAACTCTGTTTAGCGTAAGTTACTTCCTGATTATACATTTACAGAAGAGGACAAAGTACAGAACCTGACTTCAAGCCTTGATGAAGTCAAGGCCTAGCTGCATGACCTTGCACAATTAACTTCTTTCTGTTTGGCTCTGTTTACTCATCAGCGAGATGAAAGTGCAAAAACAATCTTGCATCTCTGTGACTTTAGAAAGCAGAATGCAGCTTTAGGAGTATAGGACTTAGAGACAGGCAGGCTCTACCCAAGCTCAGCCATTTACCATGTGGCCTTGAACTCTTTAATCCTTGAGCTTCCACTTTCTCATTTGTAAAAGAAAATCAACACATTTTCAAGGTCTCTGGAATGGATTACATGGATTAAAATACTCTTCTCTGTTGCAAACCTTGGGTCTTCAAGAAGCACCTCAATGAATAGCAACTCTCTTCTCTACCAGGTTCTAAATGTTTTAAGAAATAAGGCAAAAAGTAGATAAGGAAGCTAAAATATCCCTAACGTCAATGGAGAAAGGTACTTTTGAGCAGGAGCCAATGGGTCTCCTACGAGAAGGCAGATTTTATCCACCAATCAGGCAGAGCAGGAGCAACATGGTAGTGAGCAAATGAGAGCCCAGGTAATATTTGGCACAAGGCATAACAGATGGGAACTCCCAATTTTGAGAAGTAAACTTACTCCCAAGAGAAATAAAGGGCAGAACTGGGCCAAACAATTGCACTTTGCAAATCACCAATTAGATGTCACTTTACCTTTCGTTGGGCAGAATGAGGGCAACAGTAGAGGCCAATGACAATAAAGATTGAGTTCTCTTTCCAGAAAGAAAACTTTAGAATGGAGAAGAAGTAAGGCCAGCTAATAATAAGCACTTAATATCCAATAGTTATTGTGATTATTTTTCAAAATATTACATTCGTTTTTTTAGATTACTAGAATTTCTTTGGATCTCTTTGATCTGTAGTAAATTTCACTTACAATCAGAGAGGTCGGTTGAGATTTGCACAATTAATTCCTATAATGCTGAATTGTTTTCCTGAACATAGTTTTATCCAGAACACTTGGTAAAATTCTACCCAAGGTACTAAAGGTTACCTAATGTTATTCTTATATTTTTAAATTCTAATTAGAAAAGCATTAATGATGAGAACATCATGATAGGGATTGTATATTAATGTATTTCAAACATCTGTAATAAATATAGAATGAAAGGCCAAGAGTTGGGAATAGTAATGAAATGTGGCTAAGATTGACAGATCTATACAGATTAAAATTTTACCAAAATTTAATGTGTGTTATTCTTGTGTATGTTACCAAGCCTTCCACAGATTTTACATTTTCTGAGACACGTAAAAATTGACAAAAAATAAATTCTTTCTTTCTTTTTTTTTTTTTTTTTTGAGATGGAGTCTCACTCTGTCACCCCGGCTGGAGTGCAGTGGTGCAGGATCTCAGCTCACTGCAACCTCTGCTTCCTGGGTTCAAGCGGTTCTCCTGCCTCAGTCTCCTGAATAGCTGGGATTACAGGTGCGCACCACCACGCCCAGCTAATTTGTGTATTTTTAGTAAAGACGGGGTTTCACCATGTTAGTCAGGCTGGTCTTGAACTCCTGACCTTGTGATCCACCCACCTCAACCTCCCAAAGTGCTGGGATTACAGGCGTGAGCCACCACACCCAGCCAAAAAATAAATTCTTATATTCACAAAAACAGAGCATTTGGGATTAGCATCAGTCAGAGTACAAAAGTAAAATCAATTTGTCCAAGAAGTATGCTGAAGTTTCTGCATATTTCTGGTACATAAAATTCCACCTAAAGGCTTGTATTGATAGCTATTGTCATGATTGTAGAATATATCTTACATTTGACCCCAACTCTCTTAGTCTCTTAGTTTCATATTCTGTGAAGTTAAGTAACAGCTTGCCTTCCTAACACAACATGTTATCAGATGACAGTAAGACATGAGTAAAGAAGTGCTTTAAAATAATGTCAATACTAACAAATTCTAAGTCACTTTGGGGTAGGTTTTTAATATTTCTCTGAACTTCAGTCTCAAGTTTCTTATATTCTTCACTGACTTTTCTACTTTGTCACTACTTAGGTGGATGATGTAAAGACAACCTTATAAATTCACACAGAATATCATAGGAAAATGGCATAATGTGAATATTGATGGAGAATCCACATGGAACCAATTGGGAAGAAAGGAGCATATCAAAAAATAGTGTTACCTTATTCACCAGGCATGCTTATGGTGAGAGGTTGATGAAGTCGGGGGAAGAGTTCCTGGTTCGATGCCCTTAACATTGACAATGTAAATATTGCCAACTCTACTGATACTGGTGGAGAGAGACTAAGTTTACCAGCCTTTAATATCAAGGTGAGTTTCCTTCTCGTGAGCCCCTATTAAGAATACAGACAACATGGCTGCCCTGTTTGTGTATTCAGATCAACTGTCAAATCTTACAATCCTATTCTAAGAAGAATGTGAATAATTCAAGTGAAAAGAGAATTGATTCCACATATAAGTGATATCACACAGTATTTGTCTTTCTGTGTCTGGTTTATTTCTCTTAACATAATATACTTCAAGCTCATCCATGTTGTTGCAAATGGCAGGATTTCCTTCCTTTTAAAGATTGAAATAATATTTTGTTGTCTATATTTACCACCTTTTCTTTATCCATGTAACCATACATGGATATTAGTTGTTTCCATTATGTTGTGTTCTTATCACAAAAAGAAAACACGCACACACACACACACACACACACACACACCAACAACAAACTCCAAAAATAAGTTTCTAGGAGGAAGCTTTTGAAAGTGATGAATAAATTTATGGCATTGATAGGGATGATGATCTGATACTTTCATAAGTGTATAAATATATCCAAACATATCAAGTTGTACACATAAAATATCTACAGGTTCTTAATGCCAATCATATCTTAATAAAGTGATTTTTTAAACTTTTTTTTAAGAGAAAGAATTTACTTGTCACAAGAATTATTTTAGCAGGAACAAGCTAGGCCTTCTAGTCCCACGAACAACATCATCCCTGGCACAGAAAGTAGGGGGCAGGAAAAATAAAGATCTTTCTTCTCTACTCTACATTAAAGCTACAAAGATGCCTTCTGATAGGAGGACATGCTGTTATTTTGTTTTAATGTCTTCTGTAGAATGGTGCCATTTAGTTCAGCTTTTAATGTGGCCTTAAATTGCTATTTTATTACCCTTGTTGACATTCTGGAAGCATGAAATTAGCAAATCACATTAAAGAAGCAAACAAAAAAAGCAAGAAACCTCAGCCTAGTTAAACAATGCCAACATAAGCCACATACTTGAATAATATTCTTACCTTAAAACACTGAGCATGTATTTATTTGGAGTTTTTCATTTTTCAAAACCAGTGAATTCATTTTATGAATAATTGCATATTCCATTACATTGCAAATGTACGCACCCATGGTGACCTTGAACAATGCTTTGCAGTTGTATTGCCTGGGAGAAAGAAGATCGTTTTGTAACACTTCTGCTTGCTTTTGAGACATAAGATTCCTCTTGACTCCACTTGATGAAAGAAAGCATCCTGTTCTTAACACCACACTTGTCAATACCTTTGCTGCTTCATCTAGTACAGCACTTCCTTCTGTTATATTACCACAGTTATAATTTTATTTCAGACAAAAGTAATTTCATGGTTACAAACTGAAAATATTTCAGTCAAGATATCTTTACTCTGTGTGATAACTCAAAATGTAGATAATTATGTATTTTTGAAATCAAACTAAAAGTAGTTATGTAAAATAAATTAGTGTGTTTACCTTCTCCCATTAAATAAGGAAGACAATCTCAAATATTCATTTCAGTGAAGTGTAATGAAGGGCAGACTTCTTATAGCATGCCTTTTTATTTTTGGCTTTCTGACATCCATTTCCCCTTTCTAGCAGTGCCCTAATTTCAAAATGAGAAATTAGCTCTTCCTCCTTGGTACTGGGGATAATCTGATGATCCTTTCATTCATTTTGAATGCTGAGCAAAAGATCAAAATGACTGAAAATTCTTGGAGTTTCTGTTACAACAAGTGGCATCAGTGTTCTACATAATGCAAGAATGAGCTTGCTGGGCTTGACTCTGTTCGCCACATGGGACGGGC